CCCCCACCCCCTACGACTAACCCTTTTCCCTCGAGAGCCCCATCACAACGATCAACAAGCTCTACGCAGTCTGCTCTCAGTCGGACCGCTGAAATCGGTTCGAATGAGAAGGCTTGTACTCCATTGGGTCCTTGGCGATCCTCTCCCCTGTTTCGTCCTCTCTTCGCAGGTCCGGCTGACAGGAGAGCGATGCACCGTGGGTTGCCTAAACACAGGTGTGGAGAGTAGGGGGGGTGGCATAAATTGCCTGCCTTTCAGGCTGCTCACGAGAGATTACGGAGAGGGGTGGGTTGGTGACTTTCCCCTCCTCCTCCATACCGCGCCTGACTCCTCGCAGGGATTGTGATGAGTTCAAATATAAACGCGCGTTTTCTTTCCTTTTTTTCCTAATGAGCCATTCAGATTAGTAGTTGAATACGGACCAGCGACGCCGACAGGATTCTATGAGTGCCAGTCTGCAGAAGTCATTTCAGCTCCGTTCGCCAGACAACCCGAGCAACCCGTGTTCACCTTAGCCGCTCTCGTTTCAAAAGACCGCTCTTCCGCCTCTGTCGTTTCCGATGTGGACCATAGGTGTCGCCACCGTACAGACCCCTTTATTTCGTGGGGGCTTAGGCATCCGACAAAATTATATTCCATGTTTAACACGGAACGATTTTGGTGTGTTGGCAGGAGTTTACGGTTAAATTCGTTTTATTGCAAAAGCATACTGACTTTATCAAGTCATTCTTTGCCGCAGAGAATTGTTTTCTGAGCCGCCGGTGACGGCTTCTGAGTTTTCATGTTGGTACCACTGTTTTAATTTTTGTCGGCTGCCGTGGTTTGTGTATGTGTATTTTCTGGTCTGTTCACGTTCAATCTTGCTTGTTTTCCCGTGCAGTGGATTGCACGCCGGAAAATGTCTGACAACAGAAACACCGCAAGTGAACCAAGCGATAATGCCAGTGAAAACTCTGAGGTGTACCCTGGCTTTAAAACCATGAAAGAATTTACACAGGTAAGAATGCCCGACGAAACACCCGCAGCCTTTGGTCACCAGTCGACCACACTTTGTATATAGGTTAACTTCTTATCTCTTAGCACGTTATATTTTCTTCATGCTGAATACTTCTTTTTTTCACAATTATAGAATGGACTGAAAATACTCATGGAGAAAATAAGAGAATCAAACAGTTTACCTATAGGTCAAAGATGGGATTTTTATACAAGTTTCCCCTCTTTTAAAACTGTTATGGACTCCGAAGGGAAGAGAATTCTTCACTTGTAAGTAACGTTTTGATATGGTAACCCCACGTATTTCACGTTTTTCAAAATTTAATTAGCCATGTTTGAATATCCTTTAATATTTTTTAATATTTTTATCTTTGAATTTCAGGATGAATATGATATTACGCCACCAGAATATTCAAGGAAGCATTCTCCGCAGAGATATTGAAGAGAAATTTGAATTGCTAGTTGATGCAAATGACCAAATTTTTGAACGAGTAGGAAATACTTTAGACGAAATTTTAGGCATCAGGAAAAACCCAGAGCCAGTTTTAGTGGAAGCATCTGGGAAAACAAGGGCTGTCAGCGGAAGCTGGAACAAGGGGTCTCTTAACAAGGTAGATTCTAACGTGCCTGCCCAATTCCAACCACAATCAGTGCGTCTTCTCACTGCTAAAAATATTGAAAGGCCACAAGCAAAGTTCCGAGATAAAATTGACAATAGTAATACTCCTTGGGACCCTCGGATAAAGGAGAAACCAAATGCTCTCAAACCTTTAGCCATTCTGGTGGAGACTAGTGAAGACGGGGAGTGGTATGTGAAGTTTTATTTTACAATTGAACTATACTTTCTACTAAATTGGATAAAATTGTTTTCTTTTTACAGGTCATAGCTGGCACATTACCTTTTTTCTTGAATTGTTAACTCAAATGTACGCCTTGTCTTATTTCAGCTTCAGCCATCCTTATGAATTTGAGCTTGACCGTTTCACGCCACCAGATGATCAATTGAAAGTATTGAAACCTACTCCTGTGAAACCTATGGCTGACACCCCTCTTGTAATGGTAGAGAGGCAGGAACAAATTGCACCTCTTTTGGATGATCTCTTAAAGTGTAAAACATTTGCTGTTGATTTAGAAGTAAGCACAATTTTTAAATCTTCATGTTTTTAAAACTTATGCTCACATTAACACTAACATTTGTAGAATTAACATGACTATTTTTCTTTCACAGCACCATTCATATCGCAGCTTTCAAGGATTTACTTGTCTGATGCAAATATCAACTGGAGGAAAGGATTATCTTATAGACACACTTTCCCTACGTTCAGATCTGCATGTATTGAATGAAGCATTTACTAACCCTAAAATTTTGAAGGTAGACATTTGTTTTCTCCCTACTTTATGAATGACAGTATATACCTAATGGTGTAAAAGTTAAGGTAAATATTTTTAATTATTTTTATTTGTAGGTATTTCATGGAGCTGAGAAAGACATCCAATGGCTTCAAGGAGACTTGAGCCTCTATGTTGTTAATATGTTTGACACTTATCAAGCAGCTAAAGCTTTAAATTTTGCTGGGCTATCTCTTGCTTTCCTTATGAAACATTTTTGTGATGTTAATGCTGACAAGCACTTCCAACTTGCAGATTGGCGGATTAGGTATTGATCAATTGCTGTTCTATGTGCTCTATTGCGACATTCTCCAACATTGCACTGATATTTGTATTATGACATTTTAGACCTCTCCCCGATGAACTGAAAATGTACGCAAGGGCTGACACTCATTATTTGATATACATTTATGAATGTATGCGAAATGCTCTGATTCAAGCTGCTAATGGTCAGACTAACTTGCTCCTAGCTGTTTATCAACGGAGCACAGAAGTTTGCAAAAGGCGATTTCAAAAATTCATACTTCAAGATGATTCACATATGGAGCTGTATCGCAAAAGCAAGAAGATGTTTAACAACAGACAAATGTATGGTCTTCAACATCTGTTTCAATGGAGAGATAGGGTGGCACGTGAGGAAGATGAGAGTACAGGGTCTGTGTCTTTAGTACGCTTTAAATTGCTGACTCATAGGGTTTGCTTCAGTAAATTGCTAATGCTTATTTTCTTGTGCTTGTTCTTAGGTATGTTTTGCCTAATCACATGTTACTGCATATGTGTGAGCTACTTCCAAGGGAAATTCAAGGTATCCTATCTTGCTGCAATCCAATTCCTCCACTAGTTCGTCAACACCTTGTGGAAATGCATCAAATTATTCTACGAGCACGTGACCAGCCACTAGTTAAGGTAATTATCTATTATCAATAAATCTGTAACAAAACCACCACCTTCATAATTTCAATTTTTAATGATTTATTAGCCAGTTGTTGAGGAAGAGTTGCGCCAAAGGCCAGTTGCTGAAACATGGGCAAAATTAAATTTAGAAAATCCATTGCATTGTCCACATGACATGTCGTTTCAAGTGGATTTCCGAGATGATCTTCCTACTTTACTGAAACCCTGTAAGTTACTGTGTAGTTTAAAATGTGTATTTGTAGGATGCCCTTTTATAAATCTGTACTTTCTTTTATAGTAGAAAATGGTGATGTTGAGATGTCTAACCAAAGTTTGTGGATCCGTGCCTCACTTCCTCATTCACTGGCCACAAATTTGGCTCAAAGTGCCTTAGAGAATCATAAACCAAAATTAGAGTTGGGGCAATCTCATCTACCTGAAGATGTAAGAATACATACTCATATTTTTTCGTGTAATGTTTAAATTACTTTCTTGCAGTTTTAAGTCCATGTCAACTTTCTCTAATAGGGCCCTGAGCAAGGATCGGATCTGAAACCGGAGTTAAAAGATCTTATTGCTAAAGTAAACTTCCTAAGTCCCTTTGAATGTTATAAAAAGGTACGTCCATACTTAGACCATTTAGATCAAGAAAAGTTAAGAAAGCATCAAGAAAAAGAGCTGCAAAAAGAGGCTACTAAACAAGTTACAGATGTTTCTGATGACTTAACATTTGAGCAAAGAATAAGCAGAGTAAGTCCGCGGCACTGACATTCTTACTTCTTAATATATTCCTATTGGTTATTATTTATCATATACATATTTTTATTTCACTTGTGATCAGATGCAAGCAGACATAAGGCGAATGACAAATGATAGCCAGAATGGTGGACCATCCACTGCAGGTGACTCAGCTGGAAGGCCAGAAGAAATATCCCTCTCCTCCCAGGTGTGCTTTTATCAACATTCAGTTTTGTTGTTGCTTTTTTTTTTTTTTTTTCAAACAATATCAGCTTTTTAAATTAAAACCCTTTATGTAAACAGGCTAAAGGTGTGAAGAGAAAATCATCTCAGATAAAAGGTAAATCATTAGAAGATCAAGAAGATGAGGAACCTCAACAGAAACAAAAGAGAACTGATACAAAATCACCCAAAAATTCTAAAAGTGGACCAGAAGCTAAGCAAACAGTTCCTCCTTCCAACAAAACGCCCAACAGAAACTCCAGTGGGCCACCCCAATTTGAACCATATGATTATCAGCAGGCTAATTACAGTCGATTCCAGAGTGGAGATCAAAGGCGACAAAACCAGGATGTTCGTTCAAACTTTGCAAAGGTAAGAGCTTTTTCTGTCATAAATTTGTAGTTTTTAAAATTATTCTTTAAAGAGAATCATTTTAATTTGTTTTCACAGAAACAAAAGAAGAATAAGAACTTTAAAGACAGTGCTTCAAAAGCAACCAGAGGAATAGAAGGTAGAGGTGATAAACCATCAAGGGGGGGCCGAGGTCGGGGGCGTGGTCGTGGCAGATTTTAGGACAGTTTTTCTGATTATTTTTTTTTAAGTTTATAACATCTTCTAATATCTGTATCTTAGCAGA